GAGAAGGAAAAAAGGGGAGCTGCCAGAGGGCAATCAATCCTCTAACTGCTTAGAAAGAGGGACAGTGAGGCGAAAGAAAAAAAGACAATAGAGACTTGCACAATTTCAAACTACATGGGGGCCGGGGGTCAGTGTCTCAGAGGGGGCAAAGATAAGGACACTCTGAGCTTGCCACTGTTTACTGGGCTCACACAGTAATGAATGGGAGGGTGGTGATAATCCTGTGGTAATGAGGGTCTTATGCTGGGGATGATCCTAAGAAAATGAGTTTATGTTGATAAGGAGGCCAGATCAGCAAAAAGTTCTTACAACAGTAGGTGGAACCAGTTAAAGTGATAAGGAAGTTGTCCTTCCCCAGGTGAACTTTTCTCTATTTGTATCACTACTCAGTTCTCTAGGAACCAGATGTCTTCAGCTGATATAATCTTACCCTTGAACGTCACAGTATCACAGGACCTTGAGGCCTCAGCTGTGACTGGAACCAAAAAAAAAAAAAAAAAACGGAATTGTGTTTCTGCATGCCATAGTTAGGTCTTGGGCAAGGACGTTAGACCTCAGCCAGCCCTAATAATAATTTAATTATGAAATGATTCCTCCAAAAAATAATGTAGAATGCCAGGCATGGTGGCACACGCCAGGGCTACATAGTGAGTTCCAGAGCAGTCTCAACTACACAGTGAGACCCTGTCTTAAAAAAAAAAAAAAAAAAAAGTACATAGAATGTCTCCCTATTGGGAAACAGGAAAGTAACATGACAAGGATAAATCAATAAGTATCAGCTTAACCATCAATATAAGTGGTCTCAATTCAATCAAAAGAAACAGACTGGTAGAATGGATCAAGAAATAAAATCCAACAATATGCTGCATACAAGAAACACATTTATCTGGGCATAGTGGCACACACCTGTAATCCCGGCACTCGGGAGGCTGAGGCAGGAGGATCGCTGTGAGTTTAAGACCAGCCTGGGCTACATAATGGGTTCCAGGGCAGTCTCAACCACATAGTGAGACCCTGTCTTAAAAAACAAAACAAAACAAAAACTGTTCTCACTCCAGACGGACCACAGGATTCACATGCTGTGTTGCTGGCTTGGGGAACCCAAAAGCACTCCTGGTTAAGCAGAAGCAAAACAAGAGAACAAAGCTTGAAATCCTCTGAACTGTTTTTTACATGGACTGTGGGCCCTGAAGCCAGGTGCCCCAGGCCTCAGGAGCAATGCTGTCTGTTTGTCCTTCTGTCCGTCCATCCAGTAGCAGAAGTCCTGCCTCAGACACTGGGCCCGAGAAGCCACTAAGATTCAGGGGGAAATGGACTTGAGCCCAGCAGGACGTGCAGCCTTGAATTTCAGGCATGGTCTTGTGTTTTTCAACTGCGATAAGGTAGGTGTAAGTGAGATTTACCATTTGAACCATTCTTGTTTTTTTGTTTTGAGACAGGGTCTTGCTATACAGTTCAGGCTGGCCTCAAATTCACTATGTAGCCCTGACTGGCCTCGAACTCACAGTGATCCTCTTGCTTCAGCCTCCCGAGTGCTGCGATTACAGACCTGCGCCACCACACCTGCCCCATTTGAACCCTTTATGGAACGGGGGGAGTACCAGAGATCAAATTTGGGACCTTGTGCTTGTGAGGCAGGCTGCAGCACCACTGAGCTAAATCCCCAGCCCACATTTGAACTATTTTTAAGTACACTGATCTGTGCCTTACAACAAACAGGGTTGTGCTGCTGTCTGTCACTAATAGCATGTCTCCAGGCTTGCTTGCTTGCTTTTTTCTTTCTTTCCCTCCTTCCCCCCTCCTTCCTTCCTCTTTCCAGAGCTCTTTCACTTCCCAAACTGAAATTCCACACAGAAGAAATACCGACTCCCCTTTTCCTCCTCGCCCCAGCTCCTACGACTTCTCTTCCAGCCCCGACCCTGTGGATTTGACGAGTGCCTGACATGAACGGATCCACGCAGTACCTGCTGTGTGTGGCAGGCTCCTTTCAGGTCCACTCGTCTTCCCCGGCCTGAGGTCAGCCTTGCCAGCCCCCTCCCTGCTCATCTCTGTGTGTCTTGCTTGGTGGGCAAGGATCCTGCAGTTCACTGTGGCTGAGAGGTGCGACCCCTACAGGCAGCACTCCTGGACAGCCCGCAAGCACCCCATTTCTCTGGTCCCTCATTCGCCACGAGACAGTCATACACAGCTCTCCTTCCCCATCCTCACTTTCAGTTGAAGATATTGCTTCTTATTCCACGGAGATTAAATGTGTTATTTGTGACCTTGATAAGAGGAGTTCCCAGGCTGGGCACGGAGGTGCACACCTGTAACCCCAGCATTCAGGAGGCTGAGGCAGGAGGATTGCCACAAGTTTGAGGCCAGACTAGGCTATACAGTGAGACCTTGCCCAAAAAGACAATGGAAAAAAAAAAATAGGAGTTCCTAGGAAATGATGAGAATAAAGGCAGACTTGGGTGGGAGGAAGCGGAAACCGTGGTGAGTGTGGACAGTGTCCCCCCAAATTCAGCAGCAAAGGCACCCAAGGACATTGTCCATTGTCAAAGGACCCTATTTGTCTAGCTGGGCTCAGTGGTACAGGCTTATAACCCTAGTAACTTGGGAGGCTGAGGCAAGAAGGTCAGAAGTTTGAGCCCATCCTGGGCAACCTAGCAAGATCCTGTCTCAAAAATAAAAGTAAAGGTACAGGGACGCAGGTGATTTCAGCAGCTCAGGAGGCCGAGGCACAAGTTTGAGGCCAGTCTGGGCAGCAGAGTGAGACCATGTCTCAAAATTTGGAAGGAAAAGGCTGAGAGGCTGGGGTTGCAGCTCAGCCCTCACTGAATTCAATCTCTAGTTCCGGGGAGGGGTGGGGTACACATTCTCATCTAAGTACTGGTGACGACTAGAGCACCCTGTCCTGCTTTAGACCTCCCTCGGCCCCCATGGATGACATCACAGAAGGAGGAGGCAGAAATCTGTGAGGAAATCTCCAGAGATGAGAAAGAATTGCCTTTCTGCCCAGGGTGTCAGGGAAGAAGGGCTCACAGTGGCTTCTGCTTTGCATTTGTTTCTGTTTTTTGTGACAGGGTCTCACTTGTAGCCCAGGCTGGCCTTGAACTCACAGTGATCCTCCTGCCTCAGCCTCCTGAGTGCTGGCATTAAAGGAATGTGTCATCGTGGCCAGCAGGTTTTTGTTTTTGTTGTTGTGTTTTAAATTAATTTTATTGGTACATTTTTCACATACATGATGATCACATTCATCATAGGGAATTGTAGGTATACATAATATACCTTAATTCTCCACTCCCCATTCCTCTCCTTTCCTTTCAATTCTTCTTTCCCTCTGCCTTTACAAAACTGGGTTTTTGTTTTAGAGTAAAATATTTGCTGGTCAAAAGATACGCTTTTCTGGGTGGTTGAATGATGGAAGTCAATGTTTTTTAAAATAATTCCTTCAGTGCTAGGGATTGAACTTCACAATGAGCTACATCCTCAGCCTATTTATTTATTATTTTTTTTTGGTACCGGGAATTGAACTCAGGTCCTTGTGCTTGCCAGACAGGCCACCAAACCGCTGAGCTAAATCCCCAGCTATTTATTTATATTTTGAGATATGGTCTCACTAAATTCCCAGGCAAGGCCCAAACTTTGAATCCTCCTGCCTCAGCCTCCTAGAGTGCTGGGGTTATAGTACAGACATGAGCCACCACACTTCTTTTTTTTTGTGTTTTGTGTTTTTTGAGACAAAGTCCTCTGCGTAGTCCAGGTGACCTTGAACTACTGTGTCACTCAGATTGGCTTTAAACTTGGCCTCCCAGTGTGGGATTACAGGTGTGAGCCACCACGCCTGGCTTGGGAGTCATATTAGGATTTTTGTTTGTTATATGCTTTGAGTGGTGTGTTAATCTTAGTAATTAGAAGGTAGCATATCTTTTTACTCTGTGGTTGAACTGGTGGTAAAATACATACCTCTAAATGATTTATTTTTTGTTTGTTTGTTTGTTTTTGAGACAAAGTCTCACTATGTAGTGCAGGCTAGCCTTGAATTTACTATGTAGCCCAAGCTGGCCTCAAACTCACAGCAATCCTTCTGCCTCAGCCTCCCCAGTGCTGGGATAACAGGCACGTGTCACCATGCTGGCCAAATGATTTTATTTTGATATGTGAGTTAAATGAATATCTTTTCTCTGTGTATCCACTATGTTATTGTGTGATAAAGGATACCAAAGTCTTCACCAGAGCAGCTGGTCAAATCTGGGAGATAAGAAAGGCTTTCTGGAAACACAAGTAATGGCGCCCCGAAGGAAGGAGAGAGGGTGCTTCCTGCGTGCACAACCAGAAGAGCCCATAGAGGACAGAAAATAGGAAGGGACTGGGAAAGATGTTGCACACTGGTGTTAAATTACAATGGTGAGACTTTTTTTTTTTTTTTTTTTTTTTTTTTGCATTTTGAGGCTATGTAATTAAGCCTGGCCTGGAACTCACTACACAGCAGTCCTGTAATTTGCAATGATCCTCCTGCCTCAGCCTCCCAAGTGCTGGGATTACAGGCGTGTGCTACCACGCCCGGCAGCCTAGCCTTTATTTTAAAAGGGCACTAAACACTTTAAGGAGGGGCAGGCCAAGTTCTGTGAAGATATGTGTGGAAGGAGGGAAGTGAGATTATCAGATTTTCCTTTTAGAAACAATAGCTGGTCTATTAGGAGCGCAAGGTGTCCTCAGGTAACCAGTAGGGCACTTTGGAAGGGTTGTAAGGTTGGGAGCTCTGAGATGAGATGCACATTTTTTATTTTTTCCAGTTTTTTGAGACAGGGTCTTGCTGTGTAGTCTGGTCGGCCCTGAACTAACAGCAATCCTCATGCCTCATCCTCCCGAGTGCTGGGATTACCGGTGTGGACCACCACGCCTGGTTATGAGATATGCATTTTAAAAGAATCCCTCTTCTAGAAAGAGTTTAAAAGGGCCCAGGAGGCAGCCAGGATGCAGCGGAGACCCAGCTTCGCAGAGAGGTCTACAGGATGTCCTCCATGCGCTTCCTGTGCATGCACTGCCATCAGCCCCTGAAGCTCAATTGGACCTCGGAGGCACTGGGCTCGGTGCAAGAGGAGCCAGAGGGCACCCAGGCGGAAAGTGGCAGCTCTACCCAGCTGGCAGCTACTGGGGGGCCCCAGGCAGATGTCTCGGGCGGCAGCCCCTGCGAACCCAAGGGCGGCAGCCCCTGCGAACCCAAGGGGGCCAGGGCGGCCCAGGAGAGTGCCTCCCACTTCACCTTGCTGGGCCGGTTGGCCTCCCAGAAAACCCTCAGCAGCGTCCAAAAGACCAGCGCCTACATTTTCGACATCATCTCCGACCCGGAAAGTGTGGACCGTCCCCTGTGCGCCGAGTGCACCGACTGTCTCCTGGAGCAGCTGGACGGGCAGCTGGCGCGCGCCCAACTCCACAGCCAGACCTACGGACGCTGCCTGGAGCTCGGGCCGCAGAGGAGCGAGGACGAGAAGGCAACCCTGCAGGCCGAGCTGTGGGGCCTGGCGCTGGAGGAGGCCAGGCTGGTCCGGGAACTGGGGGACCTGGACCGTGGCCACGCCAAGGTCGCCGCGCACCTGAGCACAGCCCAGGCCGAGGGCACAGAGCTGGCCCAACAGGACGCGCAGCACGTGAGGGACCTCAGGGCCTTGCAGTGGCAGCAGCAGGAACTATCGGACCAGCTGAGCAGCCTGGGCAACCGGCTGATGTACGCCCAGCTCCAGACGCGGCAGCTGAGGGCCACCGACATCTTCAAAGCCACCTTTGAGATCTCGGAGGACGGTCCCTTCGGCGTCATCAACGGCTTCAGGTTGGGCCGCCTCCCCCAAGTCCCCGTGGGCTGGGACGAGATCAACTCAGCCTGGGGACAGGCGGCTCTGCTGCTGCTGGCCCTGTCCCGAGCCGTCGGGCTGCAGTTCCAGCGGTACCGCCTGGTGGCCCGCGGGAGCTGCTCCTACCTGAAACCCCTGGAGGGTGACGACGCCGAGGAGCTGCCCTTGGCCTCCGACGGGAGGGACAACGTCTTCCTGGACAACAAATTCGACCGCGCCACGCTGGCCTTCCTAGATTGCCTGCACCAGTTC